CTTCCCCCCCACAATTTTCCTGTAAGATAAGTTAGATTTCCATACCCAATTGATATGTATGTTATTCTCTCCTTAAGCCAGATCTGATGAGAATAAAATTCACTCATTCCCTCTCACCTTCCCCTCATTTCCCCTCCATTGTAAAAGCCTTTTCTTGTCTGTATTATGTGAGGTAATTTACACAATTCTACATCTCCCTTTCTCTTTTTCTCCATATAATCCTCTCTCACCTCTTAATTTTATTCTTCAGATATCAATGCTTCATCTTCAACTCACCCTGTGCCCTCCATCTATCTATCTATCTACACACAAACACACATATAATTTTTTTCCCTTCCAACTACTCTAATACTGACAAAGGACTCATAAGTTACAAATATCATATTTCCATGCAAAGTATAAACAGTTCAACTTTAATAAGTCTCTTATGATTTCTCTTTCCTGTTTACCTCTTCAAATTTCTCTTGAGTCTTGTATCTGAAAGTCAAATTTTCTATTCAGCTCTGGTCTTTTCATCAAGAATGAAAGTTTTTGAAAGTTCTTTATTTCACAGAATCTCCATTTTCCCCCTGAAGTATTATACTCAGTTTTTCTTGGTAGGTGATTCCTGGTGGTAATCCTATCTCCTTTGCCGTCCAGAATATTATATTCTAAGTCCTGTGGTCCCTTAATGTACAAGCTGCTAAATCTTGTGTTATCCTGATTGTGTTTCCACAGTACTTGAATTGTTTCTTCCTGACTGCTTGCAATATTTTCTCCTTGACCTAGGAACTCTGGAATTTGACTACAATATTCCTTGGAGTTTTCCTTTGGGGATCTCTTTCAGGAGGTGATTGGTGGATTCTTTCCATTTTTATTTTGCTTTCTGGTTCTAAAATATCAGGGCAGTTTTCCTTGATAATTTCTTGAAAGATGATGACTAGGCTCTTTTTTTGATCATGGCTTTCATATAGTCATATATATATATATATTTAATTATCTCTCTTGGGTCTATTTTCCAAGTCAGTTGTTTTTCCAATGAGATATTTCACATTGTTTTCTATTTTTGCATTCTTTTGAATTTGTTTTAAAGTGTTTTGATTTCTCAAAAAGTCGCTAGCTTCTAATTGCTCCATTCTACTTTTTTTAAATAAATTATTAATTTATTTTGATTTATCAACAATCACTTCCATATGCTTTTGAGTTTAAAATTTTTCTCCCCCTTCCTCCCCACCACCCTCCCCAAGATGGCACAAAATCTGATATAGGCTATGCATTTACATTCTTATTAAACATATTTTCACATTGGTGAAGTAGTAAGTAAAAACTGAAACCAATAGGAGGAACCATCAGAAAGAGGAAACAAAACTCAACAGAAGAGGAAAAAAAAGATAGTGATTCAACTTCCATAGTTCTTTCTTTAGATGTGGATAGCATTTTCCATCACGAGGCCTCTGGAGATGTCTTAAATACTTGTAACACTGAGAAAGGTTAAATTTATCAGTATTAGTCATCGCATAATGTGGCTGTTATTGTGTACAAAGTTCTCTGCTCCATTCTAATTTTTAAGGAAGTGTTTTCTTCAGCAAGCTTTTGGACTTCCTTTTCCATTTGGTCAATTTGGCTTTTGAAGGAATTTTGTCCCCATTGGCTATTTGGACCTCTTTTGCCATTTGGGGTAGGCTATTTTTAAAGGTGTTTTCTTCAGTGTTTTTTTGGGTCTCCTTTAGCAAACTGTTGACTTGTTTTTCATGATTTTCTTGGGTCACTCTCAGTTTTTCTTCTACTTCTCTTACTTGCTTCTTAAAATCCTTTTTGAGCTTTCCGTGGCCTTGGACCAATTCATATTTTTTCTTGGAGGATTTGGATGTAGGTGCTTTGACTTTGTTGTCTTCTTCTGGTTGTCTGTTTTGATCTTTATCATCAAAGTAAGATTCTATGGTCTGAGTCTTTTGGCACTGCTTGCTCATGATCCTAGCCAATTACTTGGGTTATAACTCTTTGTTAAGATAGGGGTCTGCTTCCAGTGTAGACAATGTACTGTCCCAAGCTTTGGAAGTTGTGAGCAATTGTTTTCAGAGGTACTTCTAGGGACCCGTAAATTTTCAGTTCTTCCAAGGTGGTATAATCAAGGGTGTGGTGTTTACTCCTTTCCTGGTCTGTGCTCTGGTCTATGAGTGACCACGTGCACTTCTTTCTGCCTTAGAACTGGGAGGAGGATTCCCTTTCTATTGCCACTACAAGCTCCACCACACCAGCACTCCTTCTCACCCCAGGACCGCCACCCGATCCAAACATGGGCAAAGCAAGAGAATCCTCCAGTAGTAGGGAGATCCCCACAAACCCTCTCTGATCAGCCACTCAATTTCACCTCAGTCTGTGGGCAGGAAGCTATGGAAGCAGCCACTGCCATGGGTCCATGCTAGGGGAATGGGACTGGGACCCAGAGCTTCTCTCTCATCACCACACAGACTTTGCCTACTGACCTTCTAAGTTGTCTTTGGTGTTCATGGATTGAGAGGTCTGGAAACCACCATAGCTGCCAGTGATTCAGTCCTCTGAGGCCTGCTCCAGGTTTGCTGAGGCCTGCACACCTATGCCAAACTGTGTTCCTCTCCCTGCTAAGCACGATATACCTTTCTGATCAAGCACGATATACCTTTCTGATCAACCATCCAGGTTTTCGTAGGATGGAAATTTGTTTCACACTCTCTTTTTGTGGGTTCTGTTGCTTTAGAATTTGTTTAGAGCCATTTTTCACAGTTATTTGGAGGGGTTTGGAGGAGAGCTCAAGCAAGTCACTGCTTTTACTCTGCCATCTTGGCTCTGCCCCCTGGCCTCAGTTTTTGAAAGACTCAGCTAAAGTCCTATCATCTTAGGAGGGTTTTCCTGCCCTCTACACCCCCATCCCACTGCCAGTGCCTCCCTTATTAGGCTACTTCAAATAGACCATTTCTGCGTCTTGTTCCTGACCATAGAATGGAAGAAACAGCCAGAACTGTTTCTTCTTTTCTTTGCATCACCAGCACTTAAGTATAATGCCTAGTGCAAAGTAAGCAGGGATTATGACCAGGCATGTCCTGTGGTCCTAAGGCTTGAGAACATGTCCAGCCAGCTCTTGGAACTAATCCACTGAGCCAGAGTCGACCTTCCTTCATCATTGCAGGTGAGGCAATTCTAGCTGATGGAGCTCCAGGTAAATGGAAATTGGAGAAATGGGGAATGTGCACAGGAGGTAACCATTTATGTGTCTTTCCATATAGACCAGGTCTCCAGAGGGACCCATAACTAATTGTGAAAAGAATGGAAATCCCTCCTTAGTCTCATCAGGTAGTTTCGAAGTAGTTTTGCTTTTAGAAGCATATGTCACTCTGTGGTCTGAATGCTGAACTTGGACACAAACTCAGGTTTTTTCAGTTTAATTTTTGGATTTTAGATGTAGACCTGGAAAGCCATGTAGTCCAGGGCATTATTTTGGCAGGTGAGGAAACTGAGGAATAGGAAGGCCGTGGCTCTCCTAGAGCATCTCACAGCTAGTAGGCTGTGGAGCTGGCCTTTGATACCAGCTTCCCTGCTCAGAACACTTTCCTCTTTCTCAAACTGCCTACTCATCATTGGGGAAGATTGGAAGAGTTGACTTCATAAAGCAAGTCATACCATCATTAAAAACAACATTTTCAAGCCAGAGGAGCCTTCAAAATCATCTAGATCTAATTTTCTAGATGAGAAAACCAAGAACTCAAGGTAGAAAGAAGCTTGCCAAGATCTTCACAAGGAGGAATGAAAGAAACACACATTTCTTAATTGCCTACTATGTGCCAGGAACTGTGCTAAGTGCTTTACAAATGTTATCTCATTTCATCTTAAAACAGCCTTGTGAGATAGGTGATGTTACTATTCCCATTTTACATTGAGGAAATTGAGGGAAACGGAGAGGAAGTGACTTGCCCAAAAGTCCCACAGGCAGCAAATGATTGAATTCAGCTTTGACCTCTGATCCCCCCCGACTCCAGGCCCAGAGCTCTAGCCAATGTGCAACCTCAGTGACTCTGAATTTTAGCCAACAAGTGGTTACTGGGAGAGTTGGGATAAAATTCAGATCTGGTGCTTCTCTGAGGAAAAGTGAAGCATTTATCTGAGGGCCAGCTACAAATTTTCATAACAATTTTGTGGTCATAGTTGTTAAAGTAAGTGATGCACAACTATAATGTGTCACCTCATTTTGTTTTCAGACACACTGAGACCTTTAATCTATACCTGCCTCTATCACAGATACTCAGAGAGAAGCTTCTTTTCCTTTTATCCAAGTCCAAAGCTTTGTCACAACCTTGTAGGATAGGCAGGGGAAATCTTGTCATGGCAATGACCGCTGAACCAAAATATCAATCCAAGCTCTTATACAAAGGGTAGTTTAATGTATTTCGTTTGTTTGTTTGTTTGAAAGAGAATAGGGAGGCAAGGACAATGTCCTCATATGTGGAAGCAATTATTCCTTCCACTTGGCACTCTCAAAGCTACTGACTTACTGTGCCCAAGGCCCAGCCTGCTTCCGTCTTCCTCTCTTTGTTGGAGTATGTTGTTCCCAGTGTCTGGGATACTTTCTCTGTATATGTCTCCCTTTTGAAAGCTCCCACTCCCTTGAAGGCACCCTTCTTCCACAAAACCTTGACTGATCCCCCAACTGACCCTTTTCCCCAAGCTGAAAGTGATATCTCCCTCTAGAATCATTTTATTCTCTATCATACAGCCATTTTCTCTGCACATCCTGCCATCTACCTCCTTTGCCATGATATGTGTTTGTGTCTTATGTTACTGTTAGATTGTAAGCTCCCTGAGAACAACAACTACGTGATTTTAGATCTTTTCAACCCTAGTACTTGGCACACAGTGGCAACAATAACTAATATTTAATGCAAGTTTCAAGGTTTCTGAATATTTTCCTCACACTGTAGGTAATAAAGGTGTTGGTCTTTTTGTTTTACAGATGAAGAAAGTGAGGATCAGAAAATAAAGCCACTTACCTGGGCACTCTAAGATTATAAGGCAGCTTGATCCTGCAGTGGAGAAACAGCTGGGCCTGGAAACAGGAAGACCTGAGTTCAAATATGGCCTCAGCCTCTTACCAGCTGGGTGCCGCTGGGTAAGTCACTAAACTTTTGCCTGCCTCATTTTGTTCACTGGTAAAATGGGCATAATAATAACACCTACATCCCTGGGTTATTGCAGTGCAAATGATATAACATTTGTAAAGTGCTTGCAAACCTCAAAGTGCTATAAAAATGTTATGGACCACTATTATCAATCACCAGAGATGAAGTTCTAACCCAGATCTCTCCTGCTTCTCTTCCTTCATCTTACTCCTCCTTTCCCTCCTCTTTTTGCACCTTATCCTTTCCCTTTTTTAATCTTCCTCCTTTATTTTCTCCTTTTCTCACCCTCCTCTGTTTTCTGCTTTGTCATTTTCTACCTTATACCACAACCCCCCTTCTGTAGCCTCTGATTTTAGGGCTTTTAAACCTGGGATTCTTGAACCTCAGGGTAAGAGGGCAAGTGTCTTCTGCCTCTTCATTTTGCCTAGTAAGAAATGGAATAACATTTCTCTACATTTTAAAATGTTTAAACATTTCTGTAGCCATACATTGAGTAATGAAAGGCAGTAGAATATGACACAGAGATGATAATACAAACCATATTCAAGCTCTCACTGTGGAATGGTATCTTTGGTTCATGTCTAGAATCATTCTTAGAGATAGAAGATTAAATAACAGGGTGAAATCTTATTCTCATTACATGGGGCTCATAGGTTGTTGGGTTGGAACTGGAGACATTAAGGGGAAGTGGCTGAGCCAATTTACAAATTGTTGTAGAAAAAGGGGAAAAAATCTGGGCATCAATTACCTCATGCTCTAAATTTTGTAAGAGAAGAGTTAATATATTTCAGAGGAAAGAGAAGTATGAACCCAGGGAATAGAAAGGAAAGTCAGTCCAAGAAGGATGGGAAATGCCCAAAGATGAAATTCTGAAGGCAGAAATGGGAAAAAAAAATTATGAGGAGGAAAAATGCAATTTGTCTAACACTGGGGTTCTTAACCTACAAACCATGAGCATTTAAAAAGTATTTTGATAACTCAATTTCAATGTAAGTGGTTACCTTTCCAAACTCATGTATTTTACCTCCTGCATTTAAAAATAATCATTTGAGAAGGCATCTATAGGCTTCAGGGAAGCTAGGTGGAATAGTTCATAGCCTGCCAGGCCAACAGCGAAGGAAACACATTTTTCTGAGTTCAAATTTGATCTCAGAAACTTGCTAGTTATATGATCCTGGACAAGTCATTTAACTCTATTTTCCTCAGTTTCTTCATCTGTAAAATGAACCAGGAAAGGGAAGAATAAACCACAATAGTATTTTTGCCAAGAAAACCCAAAATGAGGTCACAAAGAATTGGACAAAACTGAATAATGACTGAACAAGTATAGCCTGCATCAGCCTGCCAAAAGTGCATTTTGTCCAAAACAAGGTTAGGGAAACTTGTTCTACATAGATCAATGAATATGCCAAAGGAACTCTCTATACTACTTAGTATTGAAGAAAAGAAGAGAAAAAGAAAGTACATAAAGTAGAATGCCAGTCAGATAGAGGAGGACCAACAGAAGAGAATGGCATGGTCCTAGTTCAGCTGTGTCAGGAACATCCAAGTCTCTGTATACACTGAGGATAAGGAAGGAAGCCAAGGACAAGCAATGGCTTTGGTGGCAGATGGTGTTGTTGGGTTTTAGTTTAGCTCCATTGGGAGAAAAGAGAACATCAAAGATGAGCTGGGGCCAGGTGGATGTGATGGGACAGGGAGCACAGTAACAAAGGACAAGACCCAAGGCAGAGTGGCTCCTCTCTGCTTTCTGGTCACTGTTGCTCTTGTTGTTCTGGGAATGAAAATAAGCTTTACACTAGCAATGACCAAATAACCACAGGGAACACAGAACTGGGACCCAAGATATGGAGGGTATATCAAAGGAGCACTGAATTTCTCTCAAGAAACTCAAGTAGCCAGGCCCAAATGAAGTGAATCCTTGGATCTTGGAGGGAGAAATGAATAAACAATGGCAGATATGCTTGCTGAGTCACTGTTGTTGCTATTTAAAAGATCAGAGAAAATATGGGAGGTGCCTCAAGATGAGAAAATTGCAAATATCTGGTCTAAAAATGGCATGTGGTGGGATATGGGTAAGGGAATGGAGACTACAAACAACAGGCCAGTGAGGTTGGCTGTGATTCCTAGGAAAATTCTAGAGTGGATCACTAAAGAGGTGTTGGGTAAAAATCTAGAAAGGGAAGAAATGATTTCAAAAAGCCTACAAGACTCCATTAAAAACAGGCTATTACAGACTAAGCTCATTTCATTTTTTGATAGAATAATTTAACTTTTAAAGAATGGGAACATTATAGATATAATTTATTTAGATTTAATGAAGCTTTTTCTAAAGTACCTCATTTTCATTGTGATGATGATGATGATGAAAATAAAGACTTAAGGAGTAGATTCATTCAAATGTGTTCAGAACTGTTCGAATGATAAGACTCAAAGAATAACCATCTGTAGTGATTCAACATCAACATGGCAGGAGGTTTCTTGTGGAGTGCCCCAGGGATCTGTCCTTGGTTCTATGCAAACATTGTTAGCAATGACTTGGGGAAAAATATTTAAATTGCATGCTCATCAATATTGTAGATAACCCAAAGCTATAGGGAGAGCTAATCCAACATTTGACAGACCTGAGATTTGAAAGGATCTGTAAAAGACTAAGTCATTGGGTTGAATCTAACATAAATATAATAAGGAGAAATGTAAAAATGTATATTTGGGTAAAAGTATCATCTTCAAAAGTATAAGGTGAAGGTGGCATGATTATATAATAGTTATGCAAAAAAAAAATGAGGATTTAATTGCCTTCAAGTCTCGCATGAGTTGGCTGTGTGATGTGGCAGATAAACAATTGTGCATGGCCCTGGACTGCATTAGCAAGTCAAAATGTCAAGGAATTCTGCTACAATAATCCACTAGTTTGTGTCCTTAAGAAATCATACCTGGGGTAGTGTGCTCATTTCTTGGTGTTATGGTTTATGAAGGGCTTTGAAAAACTGGAAAGGATCTTGAGGAGGAAAGCAGGATGGTGCCTTGAGTTTATGATGTGATGATTGGGTCAAACAACTGGAAATGTTTAGATTGTAGAAGAGAAAATTTTAGATCATGTTGAAGAGAAGAAGTCATAGATGTGTTCATGTATTTTTTTTTTCTTATGGAAAAGAGGAACTTGTTTTGCCTTGCCCCAGAGGGCAGCACTAAAATCAATGAATCACTATTGTGAAGAGACAAAGTTACACTTGAAAAACACATCCTCAAAAAGTGAGTGGTGCAAAAGTGGAGTGGGCTACCATGAGGGATGGGGGCTCCCCTTCTTGAACGTCCACAAGAACAGGAGGCATAACCCTTACTAGATATACCATAGTGAGGATTCCTTTCACGTATGGGTTGAACTAGAGGCCACCAAGGTCCCTTCGAAATTTCAGATTTTCTGATTCTGATTCTGTAATGAATATCCTAAGCTCTTTGCAATGAAGGCACTTTTTAGAATATTCACACGTAGATTCATGGTGATCTAGTCTGTGGCAGGATTGGATCTTATAGTCTAATGGATATGGGTATGAAAAAAAAAAGTATGTATTACTTGCATACTGTATGCCAATTACTGTATGAATTGTGGGGCATAGAGATGGAGGCAAGGCAGGCCTTACTCTCCAGGAGATTGTATTCTTATAGGGTAAGAGAAGTTACAGAGCAGCCAGGTAGTATAGTGGATAGAGTGCCAATTCTGGAGTCAGGAAGACTCCACTTCCTGCATTCAACTCTGATCTCAGATTCTTATTAGCTGTGTGACCCTGGGAAAATCATTTAATCCTGTTTGACTCAGTTTCCTCATATATAAAATCATCTAGAGAACAAAATGTCAAACCACTCCAATATTTTTGCCAAGAAAACCCCAAATGGGGTCACAAAGAGTAGGACATGACAGAAATAACCTAACAAAAACACAAGGAGAACCTATAAAAGGAGAAGAGCGTTATGGACAAGAAATTGACAGTAAAGACTGTTTGGAATCAAAGGGCAATGGATTAACGATTGATTAACATCTCTTCTTCAAATTATTCAAGTCCAATTCATATAAATGAAAGAGTTATTGAGAAAACCACCTAAACCTTGTTATTTCAGCCCCAGCCCCCGTAAGCACTTTCCCTAAAATGTGAGAACACATTAGCCATTACAAAGAGATTACTGTGGCCTCAGACAGTGCTTGTGAATATTTTGGAAATCTGGAGTCAAAGATTTTATCCACTCTGTTACCCAATGGCTGTCATAGAGTGACCCACAAGATAAATTTGTCCTTGATTTTCATTCCAGGAAAAAAGTTGTCTCTGCAGATGGAATTGTCTGCTTTCTTTTTCCAGACAATGGAAAATATACAAGGGAGAGGGTTTCCGTTTTGGCCTTACCTGCCAGGGTGCTTGGAGCCAGATTTGGTATCCAGCCATAATAAATAACTGAGCTAAAGTGTCTAGTATCATCCACACTCTCTACTTCTCAAAGTGCATCTTTTTTTTAAGTCCACAAATTTCCTGTTTTGTCAAGTGTTTGCATTTGTGGGCCATCTCAAGTCCATTTAGACATAGGTGGAGACTTTAAAAAGAAAAAAGAATCTGATTTTTTTCCCCCTAAATGGTAGCTTTTCCGAATAAATCCATTAAAAAACAAACACCTAATGTCAAAAAGTTAATAGAATGCTAATTGAAAATCTTCTATGTATCAGTTGTGGGTAAGTTGAATATTATAAAAAGTTTAATGTAACTATCTTTTAGACATGAGATGTTTTTGTTTGACTCCAAAGTGGATTCAGCCCTTGAGAATGTAGAATAGTCTAGTGGATAGGGTTCTGGACTTAGTACCATGAAGACCTGGGTTTGAAAACTGCCTCTGATTCTTGCCATGTGTCCACAGGCATGCACCTTAACCTCTCTGATCC